GGGGGGGGGGAAGGCTCAATTTGGTTTTTGTTTTGAAAAAAATTTAAGCAAAAAGTATAAAAATGAACGCTTTCTCCCCTAGGCCCAGAACCAGGCCGGATGCCCACTCTCACCACTACTGTTAAATACGGTACTCGAACAACTGGCCAGAAGAATAAGGCAAGAAAAGGAAATGAAGGCATACATATTGGAAAAGAAATAAAATGGTCCCTATTTGCAAATGCTATGTTGGTCTACTAGGAAATTCCCAGGAATCTACAAATAAACTCCTAGAACTCATCACTGAGTTCAGAAAAGTCACAGGATATGAGATCAACACACAAAAATCAACTATATTTTTTATATACTAACAGTGAACACATGGAAACTCAAATTAAAAGTTCAATACCAGGCTGCCCAGGTGGTTCAGTCGGTTGAGTGTCTAACTCTTGGTTTTGGCTCAGGTCATGATCTCACAGTTTCATGAGTTCGAGCCCCATATCAGGGCTTGGGTTTCTCTCTATCTCCCTCTCTCCCTGCCCCTCCCCCACTCATGCAGTCTCTCTCTCAAAATAAATAAAAACTTTTTAAAAAGTACAATACCAACTATAATCACTCAAAAATAAAAAACAGGAGCAGATCCAACAAAACATATGTAAGAACTGTATACCGAAAACAAAAACCAAGAAATGACTGATAAAACATATCAAAGCAGATCTAAATAAATGGAAAGGTATTTTCTATTCATGGATCAGAAGAACAAAAATATGAACCCTGACCTAAGCCTCACACCTTACACAAAAATTAACTCAAATTTAGATAGACCAGAAAGGCCTGATCAACGAAAGAAAAAAATCCATAAATTGAACATCATCAAAATTAAAAAACTTTTGTTCTGCTAGAGATCCTTTTAATAGCTTGAAAAGAGAAGCTACATTTGAGAGAAAATTGTTACAAACGACATGTCTGACGAAGGACTCTAGAATAAAGCGCTCTCCAAACTTGACTTAAAAAAATGAACAATCCTTTGAGAAAAGTGAACAAAACCTACATACAAACAGCATTTTACTGAAAAGAATTTACGGCTTGTAAACAGCACAGGAAAAGATGTTGAGCATCACGAGCCATCAAGGAAATGCAAACTAAGACCGTGATGAGACATCACTGCACACCTGTCATAACAGCTAAAATTAGTGATGATGCTGGTGAGGAAGAGCCGGAGTGACACGTGTTGCTGGCAGGAAAATAAAATGGTACAGCCACTACGGTCACTCTCAAGATAGTTTAGAAGTTTCTTTTAAAAATGTAAACATGGGGCGCCTGGGTGGCTCAGTGGGTTAAGCGGCCGACTTCGGC